TCCTTGTTCCTGGCTGTTGCATAAATGTGATCAGGAATTCAAACAGAACAGGAAAGCTGTGGAAAATCGACTGATGAGGCAGCTCAGCTCGGTGTCTCTGTTTGATATAAGAGCTTTTCTATGCAAAAGCACTTCCTGCTCATTCCCCCACTCCTGCCCCTTTGTCACTTAAAGAATGCTTGGCGCCTGTGGATTAATTAAAGTCTAAACATTAAATATTGATTGATGCATTATCAGTGGCTCACAGTCGCCTCCTCTCAGATTGATTTCCTCTGTGATTTATTGTCATATTTGCAGAGTCATTTCACTTGATAACAAAGAGAAATTGCTTGCAACCTTGGTACCCTCACCATTAGCCCCCCACATTGACAAGCTCCCTGGTACTTAGCCCTCCTCCCATCGTCCCTGTTTTTTTTCTCTTGCTTTCTGTTGTGTCTTTTTATTCATTTCCCTCGTTTTAGTGACTTTCCATCCTTCAAATCTGATGCCATCAGACTGCTGTTTATGTTGGCTTCTGTCTTCAGTTATTTGACTTTTTGCAGATGAATTAGAAAAAAGGTAAGGAANTATATATAAAGTATAAAAACTGCAGCTAACAGTTTCTTCTTTGACTTTCTGCAGACCCTGTCTAGTCTGGACAATGTGTCAGAGATGTATCCCTTCTTTTATCGACCCACTGAGCTCCGCCTGCAGGACCACTGGGGTCTCTCAACCCCTGAAAAACACTACAGTCAGATGAAGGAGCTTGTAAGCAACACGCAACACTTTGCGAGTTTGTTTCTGCCACGCAGAGAGTCAGGGACAGAGTCTGTTYGACAAAAATCTCAGTGGCGACCTTCTGTGACAACAATCTAAAGAGGCGTTTGGCAGGAAAATGGCAGGGCAGCTGAATGTAGGGGTCAGTGGTCAGGATATCCCTGTTGCTTAGCTTTCATTTGTTTTTCCTTAACATCAGAATGTGCTGCACAAAGCTCGAATTCAGGCTCACACGTAAATGTTTCCCGGGAATAGCAGGTTGCTATGGTGAAGGGCTGAACCATGAAGTCTGTATTGTTGCATGTGGTTTATAGACACAATATTCCTAAAATAGGTAGAATGTAAGTCCTTGGTATCAGAGTGGCCGGGGTATTGAGCTTCACCAGGGAGAAACTGACAAATATTTGTTCTCAGTTCTGTCTTGTACATTCCTGTTACTTCAGTGAGGATTTACGAAACATTAAATCTCCTGCTTCTGCAAACCGTGACATTTAGAAGTTCCCTAAGAAACTCTAGCATATACAGTGCATATGTTGTGCTTATTTACAAAGGTTTTATTTAGATRACTTTTAGTAGAACGGGTTTACATATCTTAATCTGAGATTGCATTTTTGTCATTTTTTAATTACTGCAGCAGAAAAGTTGTTTTTGTTTTTGTCCCCGTGTTCATATAAGCCATCAAAAAGGTCTCCCAATAACTGCAGTTCTGGGCCCATAAAAGAGGCCAACTTAGCAAAACTTAACTAAGGTACCAACATAAGAACGGAGGCACTAATTGACCTCCTGACTGAAACAAGAGGAGGACTGAGGAGTGGCTGATCAGTCAGGGGGACAAAACAACAAATTAAATAAACTAATTACAAACTGATTTAGTAACAAAACCGATCAAAGTAATACTTAAATGTAAGCTAATCTAAGAAAATAAATATATTTACAATCTCAAAATTAAGTAGAGAATTTGCTTTTTCTGCTAAAATGATTTTTTTCTGAAAAAAGATGCACAAAAAATGCAATTTGTTGTAAAACAKCTAAAAACGCTGAAATAAGAAAAAGCTGAATCTAGCAGAAAGAAGCAGAAAGATTACAGGTTTGCTGAATCAAGAGCTAAAATTACTTTTTTTAAATGTGAATTTAGCTTAAAAATGCTAAAATTAGCTCACATTAGCTCAAAAGTAGCTTAAGTTGAAGAAAACATCCAAAAGAAGCATAAAAAAATTAAATTATCAAAAAGAAGCAGATAAAAGAACAAAAATGTTTAAATTAGCAGAATAGCTGAAAAGAGCAGAAAGATGCTTATAAAGCACAAAAAGCTGAAATTACCAAGAAGGAARTTTTAAAAAACTGAACCAGAACAAGAGTTGAAAAGTGCAGAAAAGATTTCTAAACATTCTGAAAGGTTTCAAGCATGATGAAGACAGCTCCATTCATTTTCAGTCAGAACATGGAAAAAGTCAAAAATCTCAAAAGTTGCTGAAACACTAAACTTTTTTCAGTTGTTTTTTCTCCCTCTGCTGACATGCAACATGGTAGGACCTGATGCAACTATGACCTTTAGATCTGATGCAGCTGGGGCTTATTTGCAATGAGAGGCAGGACAACTTCAGCAGCCTTTCCAAAGGAACTAAGCTCAAAGAAACAAAAGTTAAATGATGACAAAAATGACTATCACAAGACTTGATAAAGTTAACTATGGTAAATGTGTGCACTCCAAATAATCAACCTAATTTCATAAATACATGAATCCTTAAATCCTTAGTTATTTAACTTGGATTAATTACTATAGCCTATATGCCACGGACATCCGGCCCAGCACTTGATGCCACTTCCAACACTTCAGGTTCACGGTCAACACAGTGTTAGCGAAAGATTTTTTTCACCCATCAACAACTCTTAATCTCCACAGTACAGAATTATCATATTACATGTACCAACATTAACACAGGAGACGTACAGGTTCAGCCAAGTGGGAAAAAAAATCACTCCAAAGTGGATTAAAGTCATAAAAACAAAGGAAAGACGTTCGTGTTTATGGTTCCAGAATTTAGCTTTTTTCGCTATTCCGTGGCTGCTTGTTCTGTGAATTTTTCACGTAGAGCTGTGACACTTAWWTTGTTGGAAAGAGCAGAGTCTAGGCTTTAAATTGGTGGGCTACTTGTATGGTTTGGATCGTTTTCCCCGACATTAGTGAACTGAAAACGTAATGATTATCAGGCGGAGGTTCTGCTGCTCTCGGTGCTCAGGGAGGAGGGGGGCGCTCGTCACTCGGCTTTAGTCTACGCTGTAATATACACTCTAACAAGGTTTTACTTTTGCATAAAACTCATGACAAAGTTGCGTAAAAACATTTCATATAACACAAACGCACGCACATACCTTTGTACTGGCTGCTGTGTTAGCTTCCTGCTAGCTGTCATGTGGAGGAGGTCTTTCCTCAGTAAAAGAGGATAAATGTACATTTCCCTTTTGTAACCTCYGTCTTCTCATTTCTGATTCTGGCTCTTGAATRTCCTCGGGTTAGAAATGCCTATTACAAACGCAAGCATGAGCTTTTAAAGATAAGTTTTCCCTGTAACGCTATGATCCACTGCTGTCACCTCCTCATCAAGAGGAAAATGGATAAAAACTAACTACTCGATCGTACCTGCTGCTTAGTGGACACAACGACACACAACAGAACTCACGTTTTATACCAGTAGCTCACAGATGCTTTAACTTTTGTGACTTTTTCACGGACTTGTACTAGGAGCTAACGCTAAAAACATAGGCAGTAAGCAGGGAGTGGAAGGGAGGAGCGTGGCAAGAATTTTACCGGAAATACGTCATTAATGACCGTGGCATATAGGCTATTGTACAACAATTAAAAAAAAACCATAACATATCAAAAAGATAATAAAATATGAACACAACCTTTATTTACTGTGTGGCTGCAGCAGCTGCTGTCACATTCCCTTTAGGGCCTCCTTCCAAAAGCCTGCCGTGTATGGGGCAATAAGAGCTTTAATATAAGCTGAACTTAGCATAGTTGTGTGTTACAAGATTTCAAAATCTCTTCTGAGTTTTACTGGAAACAATCAGGCCGGTTCTGTCTAGTGAAGACRTCCTTCTCTCTGTGTTTGCAGCACACGAGGTGGAGATTGAGCAGGGTGAACCAGGACTACTCTGTGTGTCCCTCCTACCCTCCAGCAGTCATCGTTCCGACGATCATCGAAGACGAGACGCTGAGGAAGGCGGCCAAATTCAGACAGGGCGGGCGCTTCCCCRTCCTGTGCTACTACCACAGAAAGAACGGCATGGTGAGGTGTTTTCACGTCCGCCGCCGGCTCCAAGGTGCAGCCGGTGGTTTTCTGACTGAGCTGCGTCGTTTTCAGGTGATCATGCGCAGCGGTCAGCCGCTGGTCGGCGCCAACAGGAAGCGCTGCACGGAAGACGAGCTCCTCCTGCAGGCTGTGATTTTCAGGTCAGACAAAGGCTACGTTATCGACACCCGCTCCAGTCAGCAGGTCCAACAGGCCCGGATGGCAGGGGGAGGGTTCGAGTCCAAATCATGCTACAACCACTGGAAGAGGCTTCACAAACAGATGGAAAGGTGTGTCATATTAAACGATATCCATACATGCAAAATGTTGATGCTGTTTTCTATTTTAATATATTGAACCCTCCCTCTGAGCTAATATCTTTGTCTTGGTGTGTGAAGAGGTAAAGCCCTGCAGGAGAGTCTGATTAAACTGGTGGAGGCCTGTGGTGACGGCTCTCACAACATGGACCGCTGGCTCAGTAAGCTTGAGAATTCAAAATGGCTGTCTCATGTCCAGACTGCTCTGTCAACTGCTGGTCTGCTGGCAGAGTGTGTGGAGAGGTAAAGGAAATGAATCACAACATGTGTCGGGAGATCACATTATACTGTATGTAGTTTATGATGATGATGATGATGATGATGATGATGATGATGATGATGATGAGTCAGGGGATACAAATTCTGTCAAGCTTCAAAAAAACGTTACGATTTGATTTTTTTCAGCACTGACTTTTTTTTTAAGGGACGGCCATTCAGTTTTGGTTCACGGCTATGAAGGGACAGACTGTACTTTGCTCATCAGCACTCTGGCTCAGCTCATCATGGACCCCATGTCCCGCACGCTGGAGGGCTTCCTGGCTCTGCTGGAGAGGGAGTGGATACAGGTGAGGTCTTCAGTAGTGGTGTCCTGCAGTGTTGTAGTACTCGAGAATGGTCTTGCTCTGGATCACTTTATGATGGTCTTGGACTCGATTGCATTTGTACTGGGTCTTGTCTCAGTCTTGAACATTGAGGATTTTATTTCAAGTATACTGTAGGTTTTAGAGCACAAGTTTCCTTTCATTTGACTTGACTCACCCCCCCCCCCCCCCCCTTGACTTGGTCCACCCCCTAAAAGTCTCGGTCCCGAAACACTCTTATCTTGGTTTTACTTAGTTTTGGGTTAGGTGGTCTGTCCCAATCTTAATATCAGTATCAGGCCCAATACCAACAATTTTACAAGTACTTGTACTTGTTATAAATGCCCCAATATTCAGAACCGACACCAATAAATAAAGGCATCATCAATCAATCAATCAATACCGGTACTGATACTCACTTAAATTACAATACGAGTAAAAGACAGTTCCTTGTTTAAGAAATGTATAAAAGTTCAAAGAAAACCTTTTTTTCTATTAATTTTAGTGTTGCAACTGCATAAACCATGCTGTAAATGTGATTTTGGTCCAGTCAGAGGGGCTGTGAGCCTCCTTGTTCTAAATAACAAAATGTGTTTTTAAAGTCTGTATCAACTCGATATCGGCGAGTACCCAAACTGATGAACTTGTGCAGAGGTCTATAAAGTACTTGAAAAAACAAAAAAACTAAGTAAAAGTAAAAATACATGAACAGAAAATGACTTTAATAAAAATAAATTTCACTGATGAGAAAACTACTCAAGTAAAAGTCATAAAACTGCTCACAAAAATTGGGAAAGTAAAAGTAAAAGTACTTTTACACACTCTAAGAAAGAAACTGTTGAATTTACTGAACCAAACAGGTTCCACTAAGCCAGGTTGAGTAAACTGAGCGATATCTGTATATTCTTTGCTGAGTTTACTCAACTAATCTTAGTGGAGCCAGTTGACTTGTTGAGTAAATTTAACACTATAAACATCTTCTTTCAAGATGAGTTTGAACATATTTCATTTTGTAAAGAGTAATTAGGTGTTACATTTAAAGTAAAGAAGTAAAAGTGTAATCTTTAGCTT